CGCCAAAGCATGTGACCTGATCGTAATCATTTATAGTCTCACATCAGCAGGGGTCCAAACAAGGGTTGAACAAATAGAATTCTAACAACAGAACTGAAGCTTTCACAAACGTTACCAACATGAAATTTTATTTTTGTTACGAAATGAAATTCTGGCGGACATAAATCTCAAATTCTTTGAAGTTTAAACTATTCTTATGTAAATTGTTTAGAGCTGCTAGAATGTTTACTTTATATTAATTTTCTAGCGATGCTCTTAAAAATTGGTTATGAAGACAGATTTTCTGTTCTAACTTTGAATTAGACATATTTCAAATGAAAAGGTTGCTTGCTTACTATAATACTTCGTGTACACTGATAAATATAACCACATGCTGTGTAATCGTAGTATATCATCTACTAGCTATTGTTGTACTCAAGCTTATCATCCAGTGACTATTGTTGTACTCAATCATATCATCCAGTAGCTATTGTTGCACTCAAGCATATCATCCAGTGACTATTGTTGCACTCGAATGTATCATCCAGTAGCTATTGTTGTATTCAAATGTATCATCCAGTAATTAATGTTGAACTTCAATTCAACTACATGTCGTCGTCCTAGTATATCATCCTATAGCTATTGCTGTACTCAAATATACCATTCTTAAGCTATTGTTATTCCCCAATAGAGCGGCGTGCTATATCGTCTTAGCATATCATCCTTGAGCTATTGTTATTCTCCAATAGAGCGGCGTGCTATATCGTCTTAGCATATCATCCTTGAGCTATTGTTATTCTCCAATAGAGCGGCGTACTATATCGTCTTAGCATATCATCCTTGAGCTATTGTTATTCTCCAACAGAGCGGCGTGCTATATCGTCTTAGCATATCATCCTTGAGCTATTGTTATTCTCCAATAGAGCGGCGTGCTATATCATCTTAGCATATCATCGTTGAGCTATTGTTATTCTCCAATAGAGCGGCGTGCTATATCGTCTTAGCATATCATCCTTGAGCTATTGTTATTCTCCAACAGAGCGGCGTGCTATATCATCTTAGCATATCATCGTTGAGCTATTGTTATTCTCCAACAGAGCGGCGTGCTATATCATCTTAGCATATCATCGTTGAGCTATTGTTATTCTCCAATAGAGCGGCGTGCTATATCATCTTAGCATATCATCGTTGAGCTATTGTTATACTTGAAGATATTGAAAGGCTAAGTTATCCTTGTACATCATCATGTAACTTTTGTTGTACTAAAATGATTTAATTACTGACATTTGCTTGGTGACTTGCCTTAACTTATGTTAAAATCTTATTTCTGCATTCAGTAGATAACATCACTACATCGATATTATTTAATTGTTTTATTTTAATAAAAAGAGCCTTAAATTTCGTTCTGTAAAGAACTTCTTGGCGTCTTGTTACTTGAAACACTTCGACAATGCACACATTAAAATATATGGACCTAATGCAAAAAATGTTTAACGCATTGCTTCAATCAATTTTATGTTTCTTTTAACGGTTTATGGGTCTTGATCTAAGAACAACTGAATCGAGGGGAATGATTCCTGCACGTCTGCATTATTTACCATCAAATTGAGATAAAAGGTTCAGATTTTTATTTAAAACAAAAAAGATTTGAAATTAGACAAAAAGAAAAGAAGAAATAAAATTAACAAAATTGTCAGCTAACCCTTGTTGTGCCTCTTCAGCACAAGCAGGTGGCTTCGGAAAACGGAACAAGAGATCTTGAGAGCACAGATCTGATTGGCATAACATTACCAATTTTTGGCTAAGCATTACACCAAAAATACCATGATCATATAATCTAAAGTAATAAATATCTTTGCGTAAAAATGATCCGGAAGAATAGAAAAAACATAACGTGTCATCTCAGCTCCTGACACTGGACTAAATCTTTTGTGCGCTCCATTCAATGAACGGATTTGTCTGCTCTCTGGACTCCAGAATTTGAATGGACGTCACACTGAGAAAATGCATCCTATAATTACAGGAATCAAAGTGGTATAAAATCCCCAACGTTTAGGGACGATTCCGGGTATCGATATCTCTATTTTATAATGTCACAGAGCTCATGACTAGGGTCAACCGTGAGCACAAATATATTTTTACTTCTCTAATCTCATGATTTTACATCCGTTGGGAGACTAAATAACTATGAATATATATATATATATATATATATATATATATATATATATATATATATATATATATATATATATATATATATATATATATATATATATATATATATTACTCAATATTTGATAATCGATGGGAAGGAAAGGTTCAGAGGGGGCGGGTGCTGGAGTATCTCACTTTACGAACATATACATTGAAAATTAAAATTAATTTCTTAACCTCGAAGAATCAATATAGCCATAAGAAAATCTAGCTTATTAGTTATGTTCAGCAATTGAGGTCATTGGACACGTCAATAGCATGAATAAATTTTGCCCACATATAATGTGCACCATTAACTTTAAGGACGGAACACTTTTCTTCACGCTTTATGGGAAAACTCAAGGATCCACAAGAACAGAAACACAATTAGATTAATTTTTGAAATTTTCGTCAGATGTCTTCATTTAGCTGTGAAAGGTAAGCGTACCGTACCCACGTTATTGCAAATTATTCAACAAGCAATTTTCAGTATTTCGATTGACGACGTTTTGAAGAACACTTCAACAATATATATGTTGAAGGAGACATACGTTTACACTTTAAACTGTTTAAATCACGTGTACCCATTAGCATCATCATAAGAAAGCAGATTATATGTTAAAAGTTAGCAATTATTCTTTTTCAGATCCACAAAAATTTTCCGCATTGTTACCAATTAAATAAAAATTATATTCATACCTTTAAGATTCAGATCTAACCGATGATAAATTAAGACTGGTTTATGATGATAAATTAAGACTGGTTTATGATGATAAATTAAGACTGGTTTATATATCTTGCGAAAATAACAGCAACGCGTCTTTGAAAATATACTTACAGAATTTCCTCTCTTTATTTATAGCGATAATGACTCCCTGGAAGACAATGAGAGGTAAAAGATGTTAAAGACTATTTTTTTTAAAAAAAAATCTCCTTAACCATATGCAAACAAAGCATCATCATTCATGTTTCCAAATTTCAAAAAGGTGGGATTAAAGTCGGTCATCCTCCATTGTACATTATGTATCCGATTTCACCATAGTAACCCATCTTGTTGAAGTTCATACCTTCAGTTGTTGTTGTTGTTGGGCTTAACGCCATTTTTCAGCACACGATAGGCTATTCATGGCGGCCAGTATTAATGGTGGAGGAAGAAACTGGAAAATTACCGGAAAGAACCACCGACCCACGAGAAGCTACTGGCAAGCTTTCTCACATATCTACATAAATCGAATCCTAGACTCGAACACACGCAGACAGAGGTGAGATGGCAGTGATACCTTCTGAAAAAAGAAAAAGAACTCCTTCCTAGAAAACTTTTTTTTTAATGGCGATCATGTTGATGTACAAAATTGCTACGGACTGGTCAGTTCCAGATGGTAGATGTCATTGCTGTAGTAAACGCTCACAACTTTACAGCAATTATAGGAAATATATATATAGTATTTATCCCTAGGAGATGAGGATTCTGACCAAAGTTGCAAGGTTAGTGGTGCAATTGTTTTTTTAGATTCAAACAACGAGAACTCGGACGAATCTCCTGATGACTAACACTTACAGTTTGACTAAGAAATAAAATAGATTATGGAATTGGCACCAAAAATATGTTTCAGAATATTACAATAATACTTTTTGTGAATATCTTTTCGTCAGATACATGAAGGCTTTTCTTATTAGGAACTATTTATTTATTCTTTTAACTGAAATTTTAAGATGGTATGGTCAGGATGAAACATGAACTTATGAGGTGTATAAATGCAACCAAATAAAAACTGACAGCTAGACATGTTACAAAATTCATTTTAGATTGTATTTGGAGAGGCCAAGAAACGAAATTTTGACTTTGAGACATTGGATATAAATCTCGTTTTTCTGAGTTTAGAAGTTGTTCTTCACTTTGCACCCTATGGAGAAGACAATTCGTGACAGGATATTCGAATGTTTACAACAGTATTATCAAATATGTAGCCACTATTATGAGAGCAACATGTGCTTGTTTAACATTTCAAAGGCTGAATCATTTGCTGACTACAAATGTGGGCATTTATAATATATAAATAAAATTATTTGCAGGAACGCAAAAAATGAATTGGCATAAGACAGATAAAATGAAAAAAAAAACCCAGATTTTTCTAATTCCAACAGATAAACCCATTTCCATAACGGTTAAATAAAAGATTATATAAACTCTTCAATGCATGTGTGCAAAATATCTACAAATGTACGAGATATCAGTGACATTTAAACCGAGAAACAATATGCTAGACATAAAAAGAAAGAAGACAGAGTGAATGGAAAGTTTTTATGGTGGTAAATGTGATGAATGCATAACTATATTTGACAATGTGTTCGAAGATGATGGAGAAAATACATTTGCTTATTTACCTACAGGATATGTAAAGAGTGATATGTTCACTTGACAGCGCAGAACGATATAAATGTCGTATCAAATAAAGATGATGCAGATGGTAAAACATTCACAGACATGCAACAGTCACTTGCGCACATTTATAAGGTCATAGGATTCGACGAGTAGAAATAACCGAATAAATATTTGGAGAAAGTAATGTGCTGACTCGAGTATGGGGCCCTTAATAAAAATTGGATTGGCTACTCTTGTTCTAAAATTGTGCCAGTTTTCATGATCTATGTGGTCTCTTCTAATGAAGAGTGCATAGATATTCACAATTACAGTAAATTGCTCATGGTGGTCTCCACGAACGATAGACTCTAGGATTGGACTAAACGTTCAAGGGCAATACACTCGTTATAATCGACGAAGATGTTAAATGCTGCACAAAAAAGATTCACATACACCCACCTCCGACCACTACGGTAGCCTAAGAGGTTAGAGAGTCCGCCTCGGATGCGGGAGGTCGCGGGTTTGAACCCTGGCAGAGTCATACCAAAGACTTACACAAATGGTACTAACAGCTGCTTCGCTTGGAGATCAGCTTTTTAAGAGGTTAGTGTTATGACTGGTCGGACTGGTGTCAGGATAATGTGACTGAGTGGGACATCATGCAACATGTATGGGGCACAATGCCGCAGTGACAAAGACAACACTATAAACTACCTCACTGCAGATATCGTAGCGATATGACTGAAAAAATTGTTAAAGCTACGTTAAAAGTCCTAATCACATACACAGACAACACACACACACACACATCCTTTCTCTCCTTATTCTCCGTTTTCTAAATTGATCTATGAATGTTCCTTGCATTTTTATTTCTATCTAAATAAATAATGTTTTAAAAATATTTATATATACACATATCTATAAATACTCAGAATATGTGTTTTAATAATAATTAGACAAAGGTGATACACGCAAAACGTCCACCTATGAAAAGGAACTATTTTGTTAAATGTTTTAACAATACTTTGTAAATGTTTTTAAAATAATGGAATTTAGAGTCGAAGCAATAATTGAGGTCTGTACTATATGTAATCATATATCTTTTTCAAATGTAAGTTAATAAGCTACAAAAGGTTGTATTTATTAACATAAATGGTGTCTTTGAAAATGTTCTTAACTTATTTGGGTGAAATCAAGATGAAATACATAAACATTTTGTCTGTGAAAAACATCAATTGTATTAGGATATAATTACTATGAAATTTATTGTTATTTCAGTTGAAAAATGTGATGATTAAATCAATTTTCTACAAATATGTAAATCACTACTATATGCATATATATATATATATATATATATATATATATATATATATATATATATATATATATATATATAGTGTTCAATATCAATTTTCTAACGGATTTGGTTGAAGTGCTACAATTAGTTAGAAATTTCTATTTCAAGCGATTCAGTTCTATTTCAAGCCGCAAAAAATTCCTTATTTCAGAACTCATCTTTTAAAACTGTCATTCATTCAATCTTTCATCTATTCATTCATTTGTATATTATATTTTCTTTCTTTCGTTTTCCTCTACCAGTCTCCTTAATAATGCGATATAAGGGAGGCAACTCGCAAATACCGACAATTGGCCCTCTGTCGGCTACGAACTGGTAGTCAAAGGTAAAGAATATATACTTGCACAATTGGTAGAGTATGATTCATTGTTACATCGTGACCGATTCCGATAACGAGAGAGAGAGAGAGAGAGAGAGAGAGAGAGAGAGAGAGAGAGAGAGAGAGAGAGAGAGAGAGAGAGAGAGAGAGAGAGTAGCCTCTGGTCATCGTTGATAAATATATATGGAAGTCATTGGTTGCTAATTCTGCTTTTCAGAAATGATAGATATGCGCAATTAATTTTTTTTAAAAAAATGTAACTTGAGGGATGTTGCATTCCTCATAACTTTAAAATTTGCAATCCCTTTTTATTACTTGGTTCACAACAATTAATTTCCATTTGATCCATAAATGATTACTATAAGTTCATAATTTCATATATATATATATATATATATATATATATATATATATATATATATATATATATATATATATATATATAAAGGATAAATAATAAAGAATATATACAAGGTATTCCAGAAACTTGATAAGGCACAAAAAATGTGATGGCGATTTCTGCCTTATTTCACAACATGCATTTTCTATCAGTATATGCATATATCTCATTATGCATTATTCTGTTTTGTGTGTAAGATGAGCATTCAAAAAGTACATCTTTCCATCTGCAGTATTTTTATGTGCTAAAATTGACATGCATAATTTTGCAACATTGCAATATTATTTCTTTAAATTCCACATTCATATTTTCAATACGAAACTGTGTATTGCGAGCTGAAAGCTTATTTGATTACATGTTAATCACCATAACGGTAAAAATAAATACCATCGCAAAAAGTTACAATGGGGTACAGCGATAGTCACCACTAAGACGATAACATGATGTAAGTTAGAATATTGTAATCAACGCCTTCTGGTGTCGTAATTGGGCATTACTGTAATGACCCATTATGAGAACAGATGGAGCTGTTAGAGTAATCACTGATGGGGCAGAACTCTGATGGGTAAATCTAAGCAAGGATGACACAGCCGTGAAGCCCCTATATCATCAATAAAGAAAAATAAACACTGATTAACTTGCCGTATCGAATGATCGATCTTCGATTGATGGATCGATCAATTGATTGAGAGAGAGAGAGAGAGAGAGAGAGAGAGAGAGAGAGAGAGAGAGAGAGAGAGAGAGAGAGAGAGAGAGAGAGAGAGAGAGAGATTTAAAATACAGGAAGATTTATCACAGAGGTTTGGGAAGAGCGTTGACCGGAGATTTTTCTAGAAACGATGATTAACCTTGAGGAAAAAGAATGCTTTTTTCTCAGTGTTTCACCAGAAGAATGAGTATACATTAAAAAAATGAAAGATAAAAAAATACTCTGAAAGAAGGAATATGTTGTCTTATTATTCATTAAATACTACGTAGCTGTCGAGTAACGGTAGGTCGGATCTGAAGTTCATTTCTTCCATTATTATAACGTGCATTTTAGTTGTCTCGTGTCCCTATTTTCATATCGGTTATTAGACTGTCCGCTGTTGTCGCCATTGGGGATTAATCGATTACATCTTGTCATAGTAGCTGCTAACTTGCAATTTTCTGTGCGCTACATTATAATTTCTTGTATGTGAACCATTTGCTTGTCAATACTCAACAGTCTGTTATAAAATAAATTATGTCATATGCCAAGATAAAATTTAGAGTTAAGAAAGACACGATTAAAATAATAATGTGAGTAATACTAAAAATGCACATGAAATCACTCAAATGGAATCTGAAGACATGAAAGTGCAGTATTGTGATATCATAACTACAAAACTCAGTATTAATTATTGGCAGATGTAAAGATACATTCTTGAATGCATCTTCACTAGCAAAGATTCTGATATGTTAACCCGATCTACACCTTAGCGGGTCGATACGATATTTCAGTGCTTCGTATCTGTGAATGTCATTGGATGTGGTGGCAAAGTCAAGTTGTTCAAATTTTAACACTGTTCCTGGAATGGCCTCATAGTAAACAATTTCGACTGACTTGTAAAAGAATAATATCCGTATTTTGACTTGTACAAGAATAATATCCGTATTTTGACGTGTACAAGAATAATATCCGTATTTTGACTTGTACATGAATAATAGTCTTATTTTGATTTTTACAAACATCTTGTGCAAAAATAATTGCTATCGGTTAACTCCGACCACTTGAAATTTTAGCTTTGACAAGAGAATGCTATTGTATACGAAGTATAACATAGAAGCAAATCAGATTCATAAAAGTAAACAATAATACTACTGTTTTAAAGTTTGTCAGTTTCTTACTAAACTTGCTCACTGAAACATCGAGTGACACCTGTCATTGGAGCACTTTTACTTAATGTTCTAGCAAATATTGCGACTTATTATCACTAAACTTGAAATGTCAGAGGTGCTGTTGATTTAAAGTTTGAACAGTGACTATTGCAACTTTTATGAGCTCCATTCTTTTCTTGAAGTGCAAATCAAAATTGCTCTTAGAACCCTTCATTTACTGAAGTGGTAAATTCAACACGGATCAAAGTCGTACAAGAACTATATGTTCGTAAGTTGTCTACGTGGGTGGCAATACTGAAATAACTTCAAGAAGGTAACATATGTATGTATGTATGTATGTATGTATGTATGTATGTATGTATGTATGTATGTATGTATGTATGTATGTATGTATGTATGTATGTATGTATGTATGTATGTATGTATGTATGTATGTATGTATGTATGTATGTATGTATGGTATGTGGCTGTTAACCAGCAATTTTTTTTATACCAAATAATAGTTTTATATGACAGTTATATTGGGCAGCAGGTTAAGTTCATGGTATAAGCTTCAACGGGGTCGGTAATCCAATCAATAGCTCTCTCTCTCTCTCTCTCTCTCTCTCTCTCTCTCTCTCTCTCTCTCTCTCTCTCTCTCTCTCTCTGTTCAATTATTATTTTTAATCTGTCTGAAGCTAGGAATAACGCTGTTTATTCCAAGTATATTTTAAACGTTGTACCCCATAAAGCAGTTTTTGTAGAAGAAACACTTTATTGGGTAAATGTAGAAATGTTATTTGCCACGTTCTTTTTTCTCTCTAAATAATAACATTTAAAAAATGATGGCTTTTTAATTTTCAGCAACCCTGTCACACACATATTGTTAAATTATGGATGGAATAAATTTTTACACAAGTCATACTCACATAAACCATGTCAAGATGAATTGTTAATTAGCACGGACGATCTGCCCTCAAAACTATCCTCGTTTTATGAGACCTGGGCATTCAAGACCCAGCAATAGCCTGTGATGACAATTTTCCGCAAATCAGTCGGTGACACCATCTACATCTTTAAACATTTGATATGGTGTCGATAGCACTGTTCCAGTTGAAAAAGAATGGTCAGTTATGACCGCCTTCGGTCATAAAATCCTGTCTTCATGAAATGGTTTGGCATCATCTGCATAAGGAAAAATTAATTGAATTGATAGCATCTGCATTTAAATGCCTTCTGATCGACAGGCTGTGTAATTAAATCCAGGTGCACAAAGTGGACTCAACATTAAGTGTATCAAGGTAAGGTGTGTGGATAGATAGATAGATAGATAGATAGATAGATAGATAGATAGATAGATAGATAGATAGATAGATAGATAGATAGATAGATAGATAGATAGATAGATAGATAGAACAGTGCAAAACTAGTATCTAAGTAGCCTGAGCACTTTCGACTCTTAATGAGTCTTTTTCAAAGGCGTATACAAAACATGGACAAAACGAACATATAAAACATAAAAAGTGTTGTGTTTATAAAACTCTACATGGCTGTTTCTACATTAATTAAATCTATAGATGCATTATGTCTCAACCAGCCTATATAAACTTGTTGCGGATACTG